TAAAAACTAATATCGAAAGTGTGCTTGACTAAGAATATGAGTAAGTGTAACAAGCAATTAAATTAGAAAGTAATGATACTGAAGAACTTAAAAGGAAATGCATATCGAATTTATAGTGATTCAGTCATCGCGACCTATGTCTACTCCCAATTCCTTCTCCGTCGAGACCAACAACTTTCACTAACAATCTTCTTTTAATGGGTGAAAATTAACCACCCATATTACAATTCTTTCTCCTTTTCACAGGTTTAGAATAATTTAAAATTAAAAAAATATATATAGCAATAAGATGAGCTTGAAAGTTCAACAAACGACTATCATATCCATGGCATAAGAATGACAAATCATATGGCATAATGATTAAGCAAAGCATGGATTCAAGAGTCATACTCAGCATATTATATGATTTATACTTAATAAAGAGTAAAAAGTAATATATAAATAAATTAGGATCAAGCTCAAGAGTCATATTTATCATTTTATTTTATTTTATTAATATTTAAAGAGTATATAATAATATATTAGCATATCAGTGTCAAAATACAAGGCAAAATCTCAAGAGTCATATTTGATAATTCATTCAATTCATTGATAACAATTGAGCAAAGAACAACATATAAGCAAATCAATGCTAGAATGTAAAAAAAATGAGCTCAAGAGTAGTCATATTTGTTATTTCATTTGATTTATTCATAACAATGGACAAAGAGTAACATAGGAGCATATCAAGAACATGCAAGGTACGAGCTCAATAAGCATATTTGATATTTCATTCAATTTATTCATATCAAAGAATATATAGCAACACATAAGCATATCCTTTGGAATCATATCAAAGGAACATAAAGTGTATAATGGGATCATAATATAACATTATCCATCTATTACTATAAAGCAATTAATATTAGTGTCCCTTGGAAGCTTCATCCATCCATATCTCGATAAAATCATTCAGGCCGACAAGAGCATCATAGGCTCTACACAACTTTATTTTTAGTTTTGATAAAGATTCACGTTATCCAATAAACACCAAAGTACAATAAGAATATTTTGATTAAAACAAAATGTTCACATGAAGTATTTTACACAAAATATTATAGTTAAAACAAAATAGATATGTCAAGATTTTCATCAATTCTTGCAGCTCAATTGAGTTTGATGCTATTAGAAAGGGTAAAGCTCTATTAATTTCTCACAAATAAGAAGAAATGAAAGGTGAATTATATTGTAGGATCATATAATACTTACCTTAAAGGCTAAATTTTCAAAAATGAACTAGTCCAAAATCCCTAAGCCAAAGCAAGAAGACTTCATTCTTTTTCTTCTTCTCCTTCAATTCTTCTATTCCTCTTCACTTCTATGGTATAAGGTAGATGATAGCAAGGCATCACTATGGCAAGTTTTCTAACTTTTGTTATATAATTAACTAGGTTTAGTTAAGACAAAAGATTGTAATATGAAAAGCACTCAACGAAAAGGCATAGGTGTCAATAATATAGCAAGTATGGGTAGCACACTCCTTTGTTAGCTAGTGACATATATCATCCTTTTTTTCTTGTTTATATTTTTCTACTCCACTAACTTAATATGAAAACCTTCCCCAGCCACCTCCTCCTCCCTCTACTTGATAAATTAAAATATTTATGGATAAATACATTATTTTGAAGCTACAGCTATGTATATATAAAAGCCTAAAAGATTAAACATTAATATTGCTTTTTATTTATTTAATAAGTGATAGACAACCTTGGTAAGTTGATGATGGCCACTTAGAGTAAGTGTTTGATGAATGAGGTGTTCTTTCCAAGGATTGCAATCGATAACTTATGATTGATGACCTTAATAACAGAATTATGTCAAGTAGGCTTCATATGATATCACAAGCAACAACTAATAATACTTATGTCACTAATAGTCACAAGTCAACATAAATTTTTTGGGTTTGGAAAGGAAACATTTATGTGTTCTAAATTTAAATTTAGAAATTGAAATATGAATCTTGAATGTGTCCAACAAATAGGTAAAACAAAGCACACAATAAATGTGGTAATAGTTCTCTTGACCAAAACGAGTTGACCCTTTGGTAGCTTATGAACTGTTTGATATAGCTTGTGACTTAATCAAGTAAACAAAAAATCGTTTCTTTTTCATTATTGACAATAGAAATCAGAAAACTATTTATAAAAGACATTAGAACATGCATGACACTGATAAAATGCATAGCTTACAAAAGATGATGATTGAAAATAACCTTACCAAGAAAATAGAACCTGGCATCCAAGACAATAACCTATACTGATGATTGAAAATAACCTTAACATGTTCACCAATGGACTCATTTAGTACCTACTTACCTAACTAAGAATCATATTAGCAATAAAATGATGAGGCCTTAACACAAGTGTAAGGATTAGTCATGTTTTAAGTATTCAAAATCTATAAGGAAATTCTCATAAGTATATCTAAACACTTCAGTATGATATTATGTAGTTCAGCAATAACTCCATCCTTAAAAGTAATTTATCATATGAACCATAAGTTCACAATATTATAATCTATTAATGACATAAAAGAAATGATGGGACATAAAATAATTTAACAAGAACAACTAAGTATTTATCCAAGAGCTATACCTTAGAAATAGTGTAGCTTAATGTCATGGATCAGGATTAAAAAAAAAACATGTCTTATGAAATAATTAACAATAATTAAATCGGTAAAAATTAATCCAAATAAAACTATATTGGCCTCTCGAAACTTGAATTGGAGAGCAATGTTGAAAATGTGTCTTGTATGTTTCTATTGAAAAAAATAATGGATTGAGAATTCAGATGTTCAACACATTCACATTGGTTTATACTACTCGCCCATGCATAGCGATAGGTATATCGCTCATAAGCACTAGCAATAATTAACAATGTTACTTTGAGAATAGGACATGAAGTAATTAGCTAGCTAGTACATTTTTCTTGCCGCTATAGTGTTCTTTGTTCATCAAATCTATCATGATTGAAGAGAATGGTAACTTTATTCGGAGCTAATTTAATTTTTGTCAATTAATCAACTTTCAGTTGATGGAATAAACTTAAATCTTTCGTAAAAGAACGAAACTCATTTGTCATCACTCAATGCCTCATAAGTTTGTTAAGCCAAGTGAAAGTGTAGGATAAAAAAAATCAACTTTTGGTTCATATAAGAATAATAGTTTATTTAGTGTAGAAATTTAGCCTCTAAATAAAACAAATCCAATGAGATACATTTTCACAATTGTTTAAAAATAAGATACCATATAGTGTTTCCTATAACAAATTGATCAAAGGATAGAAAAAGATGTAGCATTTTCACAAACTTCTAATTATCTTTTAACGGAGTACAGAGTTTCAAATATTGTTTACTTGGACATAACTATTCAACATTTAAAACTAGGAAAAAATATATTATTGAGCATAAAGCAAAATAATAATAAGAAAAAAGGAAGAGATTCTTAATGACTAATGTAAATGTTCATCGAACATAAAAATTATTATTATATTTCTAAATATCTATGTCGAACAAAGTGAATAAGTATGAAGTAATGATATAAGAAAATGACATGATTCTCTAAAGTAAAAATTGATATTAAGTAAACTAACAAATTCTATGACATTTAACTATGCACATAGTTAAAACATAGAGGACTCAACCATATGCAACCTTCATATTTTTATGAACAAATAGCTTATAAGTGATTAGCTATGCTAGTAATTTGAAATATTCATCAATCTAATTGTGATAGTAATTTTTTAATTGCTACTTTTATAATTGATAGAATTCATAATGTTATCCTTTCAATGGATTTGGACAAAAGCCATGGTCCTCATAATTTTACTAGAGAATTTTATAAATCATATTGAAATATTATCTCGCCCCATTTCTTACAAATTTTTTTATGATCACATTTTTATACATCCTTTGTGGGCTACAACTTTTATAATATTCATATAAAAAATATAAATCCTATACTTATCAATCACTTAAGAGTCATTGCCCTCTCTAATATCAGTTATAGACTTTTAGCTAAAGTTCTAACTAACATATTGAAACTTTTTTGGATAATCTGATTGGAGGTGGATAATCCGAAAAAAAATTCACCAAATTTATTCAATGGATTTGGGCTTGCATTTCTTCACCTACTATCTCTTGTCATATTAATGAAAAAATTTTCATTTGTTTTAGTGGTAGGTGTGGAGTTAGATAAGGAGATCCTTTATCTCCTTATTCTACATCTTAATTTGATAGTCATTGATAATTGGCTAATTCCTCTTAGTTTTGCCACTAATTATAAATTAAGCCATATTTTGTTTGCAAATGATATTCTCTTTTTTTTTATGGCTAATAAAATATCATGCACACCAGTAAAAGAATGTTTCAAACTTAGGAAAATCTTACTTACCAACACATCAATCCTACAAAATCAGAAAATTTTCTTTCCAAAATCTATCCCTAGTTCTACTATATATCATACTTGTTCCATTTTAGGTTTTTAAGAAGGCTCCTTTCCATTTAAATACTTGGAGCTATCATTTTACCTAAGAGAGTTCCCTTAATGCTCATGACTATGTTCTTTTTAAATCAAAACTTATCAGTTGATAAGGTCAATATCTATCACGATCAGGTAAGATTGTCTTGACCTCTATTTCCATTCACACTTTTGTATCATTTATTCTTTCCTCGAACTTCTCTCGTCTAAATATGGATTTTTCCGATGTCTACTCCTGCGAGGAATGTCTTATCTTGTGATTGATTCGTTACCCGAAACTTGGTTTTCAATCGTAACGCGTCAGTGTCCTATTCTTACTTTTCTCTATCTTATCTCGAGCATCTGCTGTGAACCTTTATGACACCGACGAACGTGCCGACAGCTATACGCGGGCCCAGCGAGGACGGGTATCAGATTTAAAGCGATGAACTCGTCTGATGTGCGCAGCAAAAGTATCAAAAGCTCCCTCCATTAGCATAACGTGGCAACCTGTTTTACCCGACCAGGCAAAAAACTTACGATACTCGACTCCCTTCCACGCCGCTTTTTTGTGTGTGTGCAGCGCGTCGGTTGGTAGAAATATTATTAATTGCGGCGTAAAAGAGATCTTAGATCGTCCGTTTTAAAGCCAGCCGGAGGGTTTGCAGAAATAAATATTGATTTGTGGCGTAAAATAGGTCTTCGCTGGTCCATTACAAAGAAAGGCAAGGGACGCGGCCTCTGCGTCTACGCGTGAAAAGTTCGCTCCGTGAGAGAGAGACGGTAAAGAAGAGGCGCTATATATGTTGTATCTTCTTCAGGTTGTGTGTGTATTGTCTGCTGTCGGTCCTCTGCTTTGAAGAAAGAAGCTTTTTACAGTGCTACGCCACTAACATTTCAGGTAGTAGATAAGTGTCTTAGTTCTTTGCAGCACTTCTCTGTGATACTCGACGAAAGCTTGCAAGTTAGTGCAACGAATTTTTGGGAGATGTTGTTATTTCCCGTCTCTTATCTCTTGGTTTAGCTCGTGGATTTTCTCGGATTGTTGGTGTTTTTTTTCTGTTTATTAGTTCGGGTGGCATGCATTTTATGACGAAGTTTCTCAGTACTTTTGATAGTGCGAGGAAGGCTGCCTGATCTGTTCTTCCCAGGGCTAAGTGTTGAGAAATAGATAAAAGGGCGTCCTGCCTTTTGATTCTCTAACTACATGAAAGCTACTACCATTAGCAGATTCACGTTTGGCATGCACTTATGATATATTTAGCTGGTCACGCGATCTCATATATTGTTGATTGTGTTAGGTCTTTTATTGTATTCTTTTAATGGTTAGACAGAATCACATGTTACTTCACCGTCGATCCTTCATATGTGGGAAATTTTGTTCTCTATGTGTGCTCACAGTCCGCCATTTAAACTATAACGATGACGATGATGAACAAACCGTCGGGTTTCCTTTAAAGTGGTAGGATACTAAAAGCCGACATGGTTATATCATGTTTACTCATGGAAGGAAGAATTAATGGCCAGTGTGTTCCTTTCCATTCTAATTTAAAGTGGAAATTTTAGTTAGACATTGATTAACTAGTGTCTTTGTTTCAATCTTTAAATAATGGTTCAACATATATATAGCTTTCTAAATGCTATCGTTCTAAATCATCAACTATATTTATTTAAATTGATAAATTTATATCTGTAGACTCTTCAGATTTTGTTTTCTTTCTTTTCAGCTGATAAAATTTGAAACGATACTGCAGGATGGTGGGTGCTAAATCAGGAACATGGATTTATCCTTTCATCTGCTTTTACTTTCTTCTGGCCTCTCTGGAAGTGGATGCTTACGATGTCCCCATGACTCTTTTGCATAGTGCAGTAGCTAAAGGAGCAGGTATGATTATTCGTAAACATATGCTTAGTCCAGAGTACACATGACTATTTCTTCCTGCGACCTCTTTTAACAAGTGTATGTGATACTCGTCGGAGTATGTTCTTGTCGGACATTCAATCTGAAATCCTATGTATAGCTTTCAGTGGCTTCGATTCAACAAATAACTAAAAACTCATGATTTTTCACATAATTTTCAGTCTGCCTGGATGGAAGTCCCCCAGCATATCATTTCTCTCCTGGGAGTGGCTCCGGAGCAAATAACTGGTTGGTTCACATGGAGGTCAGTTCATCTTCCTGCAGTTGTTTGGACATTCAAATTTACTATTTGTAGGTCGATAAGGAAGCCGGATCCAGCATTATTCGTGAGACCATTCTGTTGTCACCACAAATGTTACCATTGGATACTTGTTAAAAGTTATTTTAGTTACTGGGATTGAGGAATGGTGACTTTTGCTACTTAGGTAGAAGCATCATTTGGCAACTAATAATCCTGAAAATTCCAGTATGGACGAGTTGATTGAAATGCTCACTTCAAATGTGAAAATTTTTTGCTAGTTTACAAGTCTACGTCTTCTGTATACCTGCAATACATTATTCAACACATGCATATTGAGGATGGCTAAATGTTTGTGGACAGAGGAAAAGAATATTGAAAAAAAAAAATTTATATTGCTACTAATCAAACAATCTATCAGCTATAAAGTAGACAAAATGTTTAGACTTATTGGAAGATGCAATTTCCTTGATTAATATATTCTTGCTTTGCAGGGAGGAGGATGGTGCAGGAATGTCGAAGAATGTCTAGAGCGTAAAAATAATTTCAGGGGCTCCTCTAATCATATGAAGCCACTTTCATTCTCTGGCATTTTAGGAAACAGCAAAAAATCTAATCCCGGTATGGTATTTTGATAGATTACTGTATGAAAATAATTCTACATGCAATCTTAAGCTTGTAAACATTTGGACAAGGAGGTGCTGAATTGGTGGAAGAGAAGCAAAGCTTGAACCTCTGTGTTTCTTGCTTGGTGCAAAAAAAAAAAGAGACAGAGAACCTTAACATTCTTACTGTTGTTGGCTTTCTTATCTCCAATATCTCTTTCGCGACATCCCTCTTCTTTACAAATCAATTTTTTCTTCTTTGCCAATGTATTTTAGGTATTACATCCAAAAGACAGTCATACACATGTCGCATAATAAATATAAGATAATATATGTGTATGTCCATGCATTTTTTACACATGTTTCTTTTGATTTAACTTCCTTGTATTTCATCTTTAAAATGTGCAGACTTCTATAACTGGAACAGGATCAAGATTCGGTACTGTGATGGTTCATCGTTTACAGGAGACGTAGAAAGAGTAGATCCTGTAAGCTCTTTAAACGAAAAGTCCACATGATGGATGAGATTTGCGTCGTTGCATAAACAAGCATGAGATTTGTGTACTAATAATGCTTTTTTTTCTCATCTAAATTTGATTAGGCTACAAATCTTCACTACAGAGGAGCCCGGGTTTGGCTCGCTATCATGGAAGATCTGTTGTTAAAAGGAATGAACAGAGCAGAAAATGTATGTGCTTGTAGAGTGGTAAATGTTTCTTATTATGCAAAGATTTGTTTGTCATAATTAATACTCCGGTGAATGGGCTGCATGCAGGCACTTCTTTCTGGTTGTTCAGCGGGTGGATTGGCGTCCATCCTACACTGTGACAAATTCCGCAGTCTTCTACCAGCAAGTGCAAAAGTTAAATGCTTTTCAGATGCTGGTTATTTTATTGATGGGTGAGTTTATTAATTGCCTTGGGTTCTTTGTTCCTTTGCTCATACATATTGTTTTCTTAGCATGGTATAAATTGGCATTATCATGATTGCTACTAACAGGAAGGACATTTCTGGAACGACCTCTGTCAGATCCCTTTACAATGATGTTGTCAACCTTCATGTCAGTTCGTTGTCGCTTGTATTCTTTGATAATTAGTAGTCCATCCTATTAATGTGCAGTATTCTCTGTAATATATATCTCTCCCAAACTTCTTTTAGTGATGTATGGTGCTTGTATAATTCCTAGGGTTCAGGAAAAAATTTGCCATCTTCATGCACCTCAAGGTTATCACCAAGCATGGTAAGAAGTATGTTTGCATTTGGAATATATATAAAGGATGTCACGCCATCTGACAAATATATCAAATTGTGAATGCAGTGCTTTTTCCCACAGAATGTGGTGCCTAAAATGAGCACGCCCCTCTTTATACTGAACGCAGCGTATGATGCCTGGCAGGTAACAGCTTTCTCGAAAATTAGCTACTGTCTTCTGTAAAATACTCATCGACGGTTTGGTACCAATTCAGCATAGCAAAGATGATTCTTCTACATTCATAGGATGAGTGAGCAATATTAGGTATCCGTTGATGGACAGTAACAAATTGCAATGCATTCCTATTCTTGTGCTTCTTTAACTACTACAGCATAGATTTCTTGTTTCTCTTCACCAAATTACTGTCACTTCACGTTGCTCTGGTGCTGCAAAGCAATGCTGTGATGCTTTTGCATATTAGGATGATAAAGATTCCGACATATTCCTTTTTGTGATGTAAGCCATTGCCCGTTGAATATGCTAGCTAATTGATGAGTTGTTTCTATTGCAGATCAAGAATACTTTAGCACCAAGTTCTGCCGATCCCCGCAAAAGTTGGAATGCCTGCAAGCTTAATATAAAGAGTTGTTCGTCAGATCAACTTGAGAAAATGCAAGGTTGGCAACATAAAACTTGGCTTTGAACTGCTTGATCAACTATTATTTATCAACATCCAAAATAGAAAGTGAAGGAAATCTTCTATTTCATTTCATGAATCCATGATAAACTTTGTCTGAGTTCTTGTACTTGGCGATGGTTGTCACCCAATTCCCCTGCCAATGGATTCTTGATTTACTTGGTGAATCTAATGACTTGACATGCCAATGACAGAATTCAGGTCAGAGTTTCTGCGTGCACTGCCGGCAAGTGGCAACCCATCTACGGGCATGTTTATAATCTCATGCTATGCTCATTGCCAGTCAGGGAGTCAGGACACATGGTTAGGAGCTGATTCCCCGATGATTGATAAGATGGTAAGAATCGCATAGTCTTTTTGTATTGGTACATATCTCATCATCATTATAATATTTATATTTCTTGCTTGCATGATCTTTTTCTTGATCTATATTCTTCCCTGCAGCCAATTGCAAAAGCTGTGGGAGACTGGTTCTACGGGCGGAGTGTTGTTAGAAAGATTGACTGCCCATATCCATGCAACTCTTCATGTCGCAATCGTGTATATGAATGAATCCGCGGAAGATTAATGAACTTGTGGTATTCTCACGAGAATAAGTGCGGAAAGCAACTGCATAAACTTTTCTTCTTATTACAGTATTGCTTATTTACTTTATTGTATACTATATGACAAACATTATAACATTCTGTCACCCAGCAAACCTTATAACTTTTTTTCTTACCCACATTTCTTGTGAGTCCTAACAGTTTGGTGAAAGTTTCAGTGACATTTGACTTTATTGGTTTTTTACATTGATCACAATCAAAGAAACGTGACGCATCTTTTGTTGTTTCGTTTCGAAGCGATGATTTCTTCCAGCGGTCCCTCCTCTTCTGACTCTTTTCTCCCCTTACCTCTAAAAGAGTGTTTTTTAAGTTGTTCTTCTTGGGTTGGACTGTATAATGAGTTCATGAAAGCGAGGTTAGATCAAAATATAAGACTCTAAGAGGTCTTCAATGTTAGAGAACGATGAAAGTATAGTCTCTATGATAAATTTACAACGCGTACTCCCCCTCTCATCTTCCTCAAATCCTTTCTCTCTAAATTTTGGGGGGACCCCAATGGTCGTACAGCTAATAGATTTAGCAGCTGATTTTTCTATTTCAATTTTTTCTTAGAAGAAGAAATGCTTGAAGTTCTCATTGGAGACGAGACCCCTCCGGGTTCATTATGTCAAACCTTAACCTTAATATCATGGAATATAGATCTCCAACATCCTAGAGAAACAGTTGTGTCAGCACTCATTTGAGTGCAATTTCCTTTAGGATTTCATCATTCTCATTTATAACATTATTGGAATGCTTGAGAGTCCTGTGTTAAGATAGATGAGTATACTTTATCAGGTTTAGGGGGCAAATATAATCGATTTCTCTAAATCATTACCAGGGGTTTGGATTAAAATTAAGATTGAATCTTTCCTTCAATTAGTAGGGTGAGATAGGACATAAAACTACAGCATGTGGTCTCTTCGTGGGGGAAGATATTATCACTATCGATAGTTCTGATAAGGGAAAAACTAGGGTTTTTCAATCATAATCGAAGGTGAAAGACAACCATCCTTGGGTTTGAGTCTAAAGATGCATCAGTTCAAAGCAAATCAAAGTCAATCCAAGCAACAAGGAAGTCCATTTCTCTTCGGTGATGACTTAGATGCCACTACAAAGGACAAAACACAAGTCTCCAATAAAGAGAAGTTCGATGTTTCAATGCCTTTCCTTATTTCGAAAACGTCTCGTGCAATTTCAAATCTCCTATCGAAGTTGCTTGGGAGAGATCATGTGAGTGGCAATATTTCGTCATCTTCTACATCGTAGCTCGAATCTGACTCCATGTCAACTATCATTGTTAGAAATCTGAAATCATTTTAAAAATCATGTTTTCTTTTCTACCTTTGATCGTCTCCTCTTATATCACTTTGATGACTAAGGAATATTAGAAGAGAACAACGACATGAGGATGGACACTACATTCATCTTCACAATGGCTAACGGTAAAGAATAAAAAGTATTTTTTTTCCATACCCTCTCTTCATCTATGCTTCTAACCTTTGAATCCCTCAACTCCGAGGTCTTGGAGGCCTTCATCGCTACTACTAATTATAACGCTCTTCAAGACCAAATGAAAACTCGGTGGACTAGAGTTATGCTAAAAGAAGGCCCAAAGACTCAAGAATGGGTCCCTTAAGGGATGATCTAATATTCTTCTCGTACCCCATAGGCATAGATTAAAAAGAAAGAAACTAAGAACATCTATCCTCTCTCTATCATAAAACCTATGGCTTCTAAATCAGGACTCTCTCTCACTTCTAATCTTCTTTTATGATTATCCTAACTTGAAATAATGTAGGAGTTATTAAGCGAGATAGCCAAGAGCACTTGTTATCTCTTTCGAAATATTTTAATTTCTTTATTTACTTTGCTTGAGACACCTTCAAACTAAGGAAAGTGTTAGATTCATAAAATGCCTTGGCAAAAAGTGGGAAGATTTATTCTATGTAGTGATCGCGGTAGATCTGGTTGTGGTTGTTGAATTTCGAATTTTGAAGATAAAATCAATTGATGAAGTTAAGATCCAATATGTGTTTGAGTGACGTAGGGCTAACCTCGATCAAGGAAAAATAATTCGATTAAAGCGGGAAGAATCAGAAATTGGGCCGGAGTGAAATGTATCAAAAGATTGGACATCGGGTCGGAGAAATGATCAACATACTGAAAGGACTTCATGTCATGAAAGGATCGAACATTGCACTAAAGAGACCGAAAGTTATAGAAGTCAATATGTCGATTGGGCAATATGCCAAAGGAGAGGATAATGCATCAAAGGATCGGAGGAAGCGCTGGATGAACCAATAACATGTCGGATAACATAGGATTCATGCTTGTAATCGTGTGTCTAGATCAAGTTAGTTTAGGTCTAATTTAGTCAGTTTTGGGATGAAACAATGTCAACTCAATTGAGGACCAATTATGCTTAAGTTAGGGCTATTTTGGGCCAAGTGGAAGGCTCATTCGATCACCCATAAAAGGACCAGGGGATGGTACCGCCAGATTAGGTGGTGATACCACCCAAATATAATCTTTCAGACTATGTCAGATTATGGTACCACTCAGTGTCAGACTGACAAGCGAAGATACCGCTAGTTATCAATATGATAGACGGTGGTACTACCTAATAATGGTGGTGGTACCACCAGTACCTTGGAAACCCGAGGTAAGATACTTTTTGGCCCTATTTTTGAAGTTATTTAGAGTCTATAAATATCTCAGTTATTCCTACTTGAACCAGTAAATAATAGAGTGGAGAAATGGGGAAAGAATCTTTATAAAAAAGTTATAAATCTCTTCTTAGTGTAGAGTCACATCTTTGTAGTATTTATAAGTTATTCTAAAGGAAGAAGTAATGTCTAAGTTTAAAAGAGAGGTATAAAAGTTCTCTCTTGAGCTTGTGAAAAGGAGAAAGAGTTATAAATGTAGTTGATCTTTGCCCGTTGAAAGAAGATTGATAGTAGAAGCCGGTAGCCTCGAATGAAGAGGAATCAAGAGTGGACATAGGTCACGACAACCAAACCACTGTAAACTCGGTTTGTATTACTTTTTGCTTTTTATTTATATTGTAAACTATTTTACTTGCTCACTCCTTTACAAACGTTTTCAAGTCAAACTCATCTTTCCGATATAGTCTTTATTGAACGAGATTTTTGAATCAATGAGATTTTTTTAAAACACTAATTCACCCCCATCTTAGTGTCGAAATGGTCTTAATAGTTGGTATTAGAGCCAAGTTTTTCTCGTTTGGTTTAACACCCAAAAGAATGGCTTTTACTAATAATATAGAGGGTTCCTCTATCATTCGTCCTTATATATTCAATGAGATGGACTACACGGAAAACATGAATAAGAGTTTTCTTACTTTCTATGAATTTTAATTTATGGAATATCATTCAAAATGATTTTCAAAAGTCTTCTAAACTAATGAACGAATGGAATAATTTGAAGAAGAAGATTTTTTTTTTTTCATGCTAAAGCAATGAACGCTTTATTTACGTTTTAGACAAAAATGAGTTTAATCATATTTCTTTATGCAAAACTGTACATGAGATTTGGCACATACCGAAAGTAACTCATGAAGGCATGAATAGAGTTAAATAATCTAAAATCAATCTTTTGATGCATAGCTTTGAATTGTTTCGAATAAAACCAGGCAAAACCATTGGAGACATGTATACCTGTTTTACAAATATCGTCAATTGTTTAAAAGTACTTAGTAAAAGTTTTTTGAATCTTAAACTTATTAATATAATTTTACGTTCTCTTCCTAAAAATTAGGATATAAAAGTAATAGTAATATAAGAAGCAAAAGACTTATCAAATTTTTGCTTGAAGAACTTATCGAGTCTTTAATGACCTATGAGATAACATGTCTTGCATATGACGAATATGAGAATAATCTTCTAAAGAATATGAAGGATTTGATACTTAGAACAAAAGAAGACCACTCGAGCGAAAGCTCAAGTGATGATGACATAGAACTTTTGACAAGAAAATTCAAAAAATTCATAAAACATAAAACTAAGAACAAAAATGAACTTAAAAAGAAGAAGCTGTCAAAGAAGAAGAAAGCACTAAAGGCGACTTGGGATGAATCAAGTATATCTAAAGATAATGTACAAACCAACAAAGGTGATGTGTCAAACTATGCCTTAATGACTCTCAATGATGAGGTAAGTGACTCAAACGAAACTCCTTTACTTTACAATGAATTACTTGATGCTTTTAATGATTTATTTGATAAATTTAAATTAGTTAGTAAAAATTATAAAATTCAAAAAAAGGATCATGCCTCTCTCTAGTAATTTTAAAAAATTTAAAAATGAGCATGATAATTGCATGTTAACTCATTGCACTAAATATGAATAGTTAGACTTAGTTAAGAATAAAAATATGTTATTAAAATAAATATTAGAAAATTTTAAAATTGATAGTAAATCATTAAACATGATTCTTACTAATAAGGGTCATATATATAGAAAAGTAGAAATTAGTTTTTTGAGTAGCAACACTCAACAAAAACCGACTTTATTTGTCAAAGGACCCACGTTGCATATTACCCAATGTGAAGTATAATTTTTAAGGTAGACATGATCATTTTGTATATAAATATTAATTCAAAAAGTATGTCTCATATAAATTAGTTTGGGTTCCTAAAGGAACCATGAATGACTTAATACCAAAAGATAAGATAGGTAGATCTAACTATAAGGGACCCAAAGTTAAATGAAAACCTAGAACAAACCTATCTTTCTTGTAAACATGTCTACAATTGAAAGCTAGGAGCAAAAGATGATATTTTGATAGTGGATGCTCAAGGTTTATAATCGGAGATCCAACACACTTCTTAAAACTCACTAGCTGAAACAACAAAGAAAAGATAATTAGAATTCGAATTATTTGTAACAAATCAAATCTTTGATTAAAGATTTTTATTAGTAGATATAACTCATTAAGCATTTGTGTAACAAGAGATATAAAATTAAATTTAAATCTAATGCTTGCATACCAAATAAGAATAATTTTATAAATACCTAAATGTTTATCTTGATGATTGTCGTAATTTGTTTTTTGGTTTTTAAGCAATGATGTATGGTTTTGGCGTAAAAAACTTGGGCATGCTTGTATAAAATCAATCGCTTAAATTGAAACAAAAAGGAGAGAATCCATTTTTCTTGAAAATATGTTTAA